AAAAAATTAGGAATAAGATTTTTTTTTTTTTTTTCCTAGAGGGCAACAGAAAATTACAACTTGCTCACCTTAGTCTACTTTCCCCTGTGAAATTATCCAGAAAAAAACAATGCAGTCTTTGTGCCCAATATACTCATAGCAATACTCTTTAACAGTTTCAAGACACAACAGATGGAAGATAAGAAAGACGTATTAACTTGAATATGTGAAGGTAGGGTCCGTCTCTTTAATAGCCTACACATAGGCCTATGTGGTTTAAATCTTCAACGCCTGTACACACAAAAATAATAAGTTTATATTCATTTCTATGAACGCAATCTATGGAGATTGTGGAAAAAAAGAAAAAGAAAATAAAAGAAAGATATAGCCTAAGAAATAAACTAAACACGTAAATCAATACATGACCATTCCTATTTTTCTTTAATCATTCCTTTATTTCTGTTGTTCTATTTTATTCCCTTTGCGGAACATGATAAGAGAACGAGAAAAAAAATGAAATAAGTAAAATGAATGAGAAATTGGAGATAATTTTAAATATGGAATAAAAAATTCAAAAGACTGAATCAAGTCTTCAGTCAGATTTTCATCTAATATTTTTACATTTACCCAAACAATGTTTTATTTATTTACTTACAAATTTCATTATGTATATACTTATTTTCATATAGAACATTGTAGATTTATTTATTTATTTATTTATTTATTATTTTGTCGTGGAATCGTGTTAATGATCTCTACCTTTCTCGGTTTCTACACATATTTCTACACACACATTTTTTTTGAAAGACAAATATATGTATTTTCTTAAAAATTAAGAAAAATTAAGACCAAAAACATAAGAGGGGAATAAAAACAATAACTTGGGGATCATATCAAAGTCCCTTTCTTTGCTGAAATGGGGGTTTTATTTTGAAATCGTTTGCGCCTATCCGCCATTTTGTGTTTTTTGGTTGATGCATTATTCACACTATGGAGTGGGAAAAGCTTTAGAGCGAGCGAGCGAGCGGAGAACAGAAAGAGAGAGAGAGAGAGAGAGAGAGGGAGAGAGAGAGAGAGAGAGAGAGAGAGAGAGAGAGAGAGAGAGAGAGAGAGAGAGACAGAGACAGACAAACACACACACACACGGTAGTATTTACAATGTTTCTTATATTTTCCTCATAGGTCTTATTTGTACTACATTTCATGTTGTTGTCATGCAAGAACCCCCATACTTCCTGCATATAACCAGCACTTTATAAACAGGTTCTCATTAGCTTTTGTCAACCAGCAATAACGCCTCTGTTTTGATCTGTAACATCTATTCTTTTATCGTGGCTTGTTGACTGTTTGTATGATTTACTCGTGCAACCTGTTCCGTTTTAATGAAGTAAACATTAATGCACCAAAAGTGACATTGCCATCAGCTAGTGCTTATCGCGCCTTAATAACAATATTTGAAGTGTTGGTGGATATTACTTGGTAAAAGAGAGCGAATGGAGATTAATGTGTGGTCTGTGCAGTGCATCGATCGTAGTTTGCTGTTGGTTTTGTTCGATCATGTGCTTTGTTTGCAAATAAATGCTGTGGTCCGTGTCTAAACATGAACTATCATACATGTGCCACACTGAACTCTAGAGCTGGAGTCTCAAACCCTAACGGTACTCCTGAATGGGGCCACCATCGTGCATTTTACATCCAGCCCTAGTTAGAGACGCACCATAATCATGTATTCTAAATCTCTGGGGTTGCTTGAAGAGTACACGTAAGAGTATAGTTGTAAGTAAACCCTGCTGCACAGTGGCCAGAAGCAGGATTTCACACTTCTGCTCTAAATCACACTCTGCTCTCCAGTTCTTTTTGAGTTGTGATATTTGTCCTTGCCCTTTAGTACATGAAGATATTAAAACTGTTCAACTGTAATTGGTCTTTTCTGACAGATAATAAACACAAGATGAGTTCTCAGCAGTTTCCCAGAGCTGCTCTGCCTCCTTCTGGAGCTGGACCGGGTCAGACGTCTACTGACAGCGGCGTCCTAGGCACACAACCAGGTAGGAGTCCAGACCATTTAGCTGCAGATAGGGTCGTCACTATCAAAATCAAAGTGCCTGTGGTTGATACCATAGCGAAAACTAACAACTAAAAGTAGCTAATGCTAGGCCTGTCGCAATAATCAGTATATCGACTTATCGCGCAATATATGTACATGACCTCAATAATTTTTGGTGACGCAATATATCGCCCATTATATTTACTTAAAAATTAATGTCACCATGTTTTGTACATTACCCTTGCGCCTGTGTCTTTTGCAGCTTCTCAAACATAACGTGGTGTAGTCATGAGGTGCTAGTTCAAATTTAAAAAATGCTTCTACAAAAAAAGTTTCATCTGCAGATATGGTCTTGTTTAGGGATCTGTGCCTTTGTGCATGCGGACATCTGACTGCTAAGTAGTGATTGTGTTTTTCAGCAATAGTGTGCACACTTAATTTACAGAGAAAAGAAGGTCAGGGAAAAATCTGTAGATGGAAAAATCTCCATACAAGTTCTTTGTGCATTTTTCTACTTGTTGCTTTGCACTTTTTGTTAGAAAGGTTTATTTACTATTTATTCAGGTTTTTTAAGATCTAATATGTTGATACTTAATTTCCATGATCGAAATATTCTTAAAAATGAAAAGTTTGTTGTCATTTGGAAGTGTGTAGGCCTTCTTGCATTATTATGCCGTTACATTATGCTAAATATTCTTAAAATTAAAAGTTTGTTGTCATTTGGAAGTGTGTGGGCCTTCTTGCGTTATTATGCTGTTACATTATGATTATATATTCAGTGGCATAAAATGGTCTTTAAAATGACAATAATATCGCTTATCGCAATTATTTCTGGGGCAATATATCGCACAACAAAAAGTTGTTATCGTGACAGGCCTAGCTAATGCTGTTGACAAAACCCCCTTGTTACAAGAAATCCATCATCAGTTACTATAATTTTTTTTTCTGAACAAAATTGCAGTTGCGATTAATGAATAAATCAAATAAATAAATCCAGCTGTGCTTGTTTGTAGGGCTGCACAGTTTGGCCAGACATTTGAGCTTATATATCAATAAGGCTATAAAATAATAAAATATTATTAATAAATAAAAATACTAAATAATAACAAAACAAGAAGTATTAATATTGTAGTATTTCACTGTAAAATAAAAATAAATTTTAAATTATTTAAGAAAAATAATAATTGTATTTTACATTACAACTTAAATATGACAATAATAATATTTACCATTACTTCTAAATAATGTGTTGCAGTAGGCAGTGAAGACAGTAGCCGTGAAGTGGATCACTCTCAGGATCCTCCGCCTGGCAGCAGCAGTGGCAGTGCAGGTGGAATTGCATCGTTCCGTGATGATAAGCAGGAGATGGTGGTGGTCAGGCCCTACCCACAGGTCCAAGCTCTAGGCCAGCCTCCTGCTCTGCCCCAGCATGTGCCTATCCAGCCCAGCCCTCCTGTAACTGTGGCCGCCCCATCAGTCCAACTACTACAGGGCCAGCAGTCCAGTGTCAGCGAGGGATCAGTGAAGGTAACTTCATTTCACTATCTTTGCTCCTGTGATTTTAATGTGCTTATTTGAAATGATCAATTCCATTAAAAATTATTTTACATCAACTTAATTTTGACATTTTGTTCAGGGAGATAGGGACAAAGCTAATTCTTAAACTTATTAAAAAACTTATTAAATCACAATCTACATACATATTTCACAACATTTATGAATTATGATATTATGATACACCACACTGACAAATTTAAATCTATTGATCTAAAACTAAAAAGTTAGTCATCTAAACTAAAAAAGTAGTGTACTTGTTTGCCCAGAAGAAATAAAATGTGAAAGATTCTGGAGATCCATCCATCCATCCATCCATCCATCCATCCACACACACTCAACACACACACACTTTTTTTTGGATACTTTAAATGCTAGTTTTAAATCACCTTAACTTTTAGGCAACTTGAACTCGCAAATGATTCTTTTGTTATGATGTTAATTCTGCAGGCTGCCCTGAAGTCACCTATGCCCAGTCGTCTTATAGCACCTGCTCCAGCCGTTAGCCAAGGTCATATACCTGTTCCAGCCAAAGTGTCTGGACATATCACAGTTCCCCTTGAGAGCAGCATTGCTCCAGCCTCTATACCAGTGGCAACCTTCAGCGGTCAGCAGGTATGGGCACTATCACAACTATGAACTACTTCTGGACAGGTTTCTTTAGATTACACACAGTGTGCTTACTGCAACAAACATTTTGCGATTAAATAATGTTTCTCCAGGGACAGAGTAACCTGCATCAACTAATGGCCACTAATGTGCAGATCTTCAGGGGCAGTGCACCTGCGCTACAGATCGCATCTCCTGCTCCTCCCCACACTTTCACCTCCCATCTGCCCAGAGGTCAGCAATTTCTTTCATACAAAACTGACATTATTGCATAAAGGGATAGTTCACCCAAAATGAAACTCTGTTCATCTTTTACTCCCCCTCTTGTCATTCCAAACCTGTATGACATACTTTTTTTTTGTAGAACACAAAATCAATTATTTTAAGAAATGTATAGGTGTTTATTTATTTATTTATTTATATATATATATATATATATATATATATATA